CCCCAAAACCCCAAAACCCCAAAACCCCAAAACCCCATCTAAAATTTCACCAGTTGAACAGTTAATAAATCCGAGGGTTTATTAGACGAAAGAATTTTGGAGTAGAAAAAGTGGGAGAAGAGAGGAGAGGGGTTTAGAGGAAGGTAGGGTAAGGGATGATTGGGAGAATTAAGGGGTGGGCGGTAGAGGGTGGGTAAGGGGGTTGTCTTCTTGTTTGGTTTGGGTAGAGGGGGTTTTGGTAGATTGTTGGGGACAATATAGATGTAGGAGTTGTGAATTATTTAGTTCGAGGACTACTTTTTGGTGGGGTTGTAATTTTTTGGCTCAGATTTTGCAAATTTCTTTGTATTTTAAGTGTCTGCATTTTTGAACTTTTTCTAGATGGTTGATAAACTTCTTCTTGACAATAAATTTGTTATTATATAGATGTTGGAATGAATTTCTGACTCGGCGAGTATTTTCTAACTTTTTTATACCCAATCCAAAAGAGTAAAAGATAGCTTCAATGATTAGAATCATATGGAAAAGTAGGAGATATCTGTTCTCTTGTACTGTCTCATCTTCTGGGTATAGAAAACTTCTTGCGACATACAAATACCAGACTAAATGAATTAGAAGATGTACGCTTACTTATCATCAAAAAGTAATAAACATTTGATATCTTTTGTATACTCTCAAAGGACAATACTAAATTATGCATCAGCCAATTCTGTAACAAATAATGCAAGACAGCAGCTCCCTTCATGTATACAGCCACTTGCAACACCTTATAAGCACTTCCAGCTAAATTACTTTCATCAAAACTACTGAGTAAGCCTCCTATCACACACAAACTTGCTCAATGATACAAAGCCCAATCCAAGTTGCTATTGGTAACATATCTCTTGTTTCTTTTCTTTCTTGACTCCTTATTCTTCAGCAAGCTGTCAAACTCACTTTGTCTACATTTTGGGTTATTTATCATTTAGTAATTAATTCTATATCTTTCCCAATTTATGGGGTTTTGGGGTTTTGGGGTTTTGGGGTTTTGGGGTTTTGGGATTTTGGGGTTTTGGGG